CCACAGGCATAGGCAGATACTCAGTGCTGAGTTGCTCTGCACAGAAAAGATTTTTTCCAACCAGTTGTCCTTTAAAAGCTCTGTCCTTTAAAGCTTTTTCACTGGCTGTGCATGTATTTTGTTATTCTGTTTTCTCCATCCTCCCTTTCTAGCTGGTGTTTCTCACTTTCTTCTCACACACACAGTTCCAGCACTCCAAGTCCTTCATTCCCTAATTTACCAGAGGCAAAGAGTTGCCCTTAGGCTGTATAGCTGGTGACTAGTTCAACATCTCATGAGACATTTTTCCAATCTTCTATTAAGAAATTACTTCTACTGTTATTTACAGGATTTAAGCCCATGAAAACCCATTGTTACTGCGCCTATTTCAATAAATTCCTTCCTTCAACAGAATTTAGATTTGCTTCAGCAACCCAATGAGCTATTCTGTTGCTAAAGATTTACTTAAGGCAGAATATTCAAGGTATCTGTAAACTGGCTATGGAGAACAGGGATGGGGAACCATTCAGATTTCTTTGCACATCTCGAATGTCAGTGTTCAAATCCCAAACCAGAAGACTGGATTTGGAGCTGTAACCTGACAAATCAACTCTGCTTTGAGCAGGGGGTTGGACTGACGACCTCCATCCCAGCACTGCACAAAACTCTCCCCACAAAGACATCCCTGGCCTAAAGCACACAGCTGGTGGGGCTCTGCTTTATCAGCTACATCAGGGTATATTCCTTCCTTTTGCTTTCTCCTCTCATGAGAAAAAAGAAGGTATTGAAAAAATTTTATTTTAGTCTTAAATTTTCATCTTTAGTTGAGACCAAAAACTACTTCTCCAGTTATTTCAGCACCCTTTTCTTTCTTTAATTCCTCGCTGATTGCTTTGTTGATGACTTGTTCAGCACCTTTACTTCCCCTCATGTCAACTTGCAATCTGGCAACTTGCAACTGAGCAAATCAAATACTCCTGAATGATGACTCTCCTCCCAGAGACATCTGTAAACCTTCCCAACTCTGGCACTGCCTCAAGACCTACAATTCTTTCAATGGCTCTTCTAAAACACATCAAATATTCCTCCCACTCCTAATACTCTTGCATTAATGAACAATTTTGGCAGAATCAAGCAGTGTCTCATGGCCTACAATCTCCCAGTGGTTTAGTACCTGATTTTGGTGAATAATTTATCCACTGCTGTTATTTCATGTGGGCACCAACAACACAGCCAAGAGCCAGCCTGAGCGGCAGCAAGGAGGATTACAAAGCCCTGGGAGCAGCAGTAAAGGAGGGAGCAAAGGTCATTTTTCCATCAATCCTCCCAGTCAAAGGGAAGGGGTTTGAAAGGGCCAGCTGAATTTGGAGAATCAACACTCTGTATCAATGACCAGCTGGATTGCACAGGCTCCACTGGGTGGGGATGGATGAGGAGCTGACCCAGCGTTTAGGAGTCAGACTACAGGGAGAGAAGGGAGAGGTGACATTCTAGTGAGGGTCTGCTACAGGCCACCCAACCAGGAAGACCAAGCAGATGAGGCCCTTCACAGACAGATTAGGAGCAGCCTCACATTCCCAGGCCCTGATCCTCATGAAGAACTTCAACCAGCCTGACAGCACAACCCCAAAACACACCTCAAAAAACAAAATGTTTCCTCCTGAAAACTATGCTAAGGCTCATGGAGAATAAAGAGGTGATTGGTGAGAGTCAACATGACTTCACTAATAGCAAATTGTGTTTTTCTATGACAGGGTTACAGCTGTGGAAGGTGAGGGAAGAGCAACTGATATAATGTACCTGGACTTGTGCAAAGTGGACCACTGTCCTGCATGGCATTCTTGTCTCTGAACAGGAGAGAGGTGGATTTGACAGATGAACTACTCAGTGGATAAGGAATTGGTTGGGTGGTTGCACTCAAAGAGTTGTGGTCAACAGCTCAATGTCCAAGTGGAGACCAGTGACTAGTGATGCTCTCCAGGAGCTGATACTGGGACTGGTGCTGTGTAACACCTTTGCTGGTGACATGGACAGTGGGATTGAGGGCCCCCTCAGCCAGTTTGCCGGTGACACCAAGCTGTGTGGTGTGGTTGACACCCTGGAGGGAAGGGATGACACTGAGAGGATGTACACGGCAAAACAACCTTTTCATCTTGCCCCAGAAAACGAGAGAAATCAAACCATCTAACAAAAATGAAGCCCATTAAATGGAGTTAAACTCAGCAGGATGAATTTCCATGATAGTTTCAGCACTCCAATTCCCCTCACGTCGAATGGGAATGCATTGGTTCATTTTAGCAGAACTTGGCACAGCAAGCACTTTTGTACTGTCAGGAGTGCCAGCCCATGAAATGTTGCATCTCTATCTGCCATATGGTTCCATCTTAAGTAAAACTACGCAGTTCTTTCACATGGTAGCGTTTGATTCGAAGTATTTAATTCACAGCATGGAATGAGTCAGGCTGGATTCTCCGGCTCTTTTTCCGGGGGTTTGTTTCTCAGTCTGTCTTTATGTTCTCTCTCAGTGACGTCCAACAGCAAGGACTGAAGGTAGCTCTGCCTTTCCATGACAGGCTTGCCACTGATTTCAACAGGTTTCGGATCAATCTTTTGGTGTCAAGTTTATGAAATGGGAAGTTTTATAAATTTGCAAAAGAAAATTAATTGGCAAAGAGCTATGGATATTTTCAGATCTGCTGGGATACACAGACAAAGGTGCTATTTAAATCAACAAAAGACTGACCTATCAATAAAGAACTAAACCAAAGCCCCTCTGGCACACCTTATTCTGGCAAACAGGCTCCTGCACCGAGGCAGAACGTGGCCACACACATAGAGACAGCAATGACACACAGCACAACATAAGCACCTACACAAATCTGTACCAGGAGGGTGAGAGCAGACTGGTTAACTGAGGCACTGGCACAGAGAAAACAAGGACTGTGCTAGACCAGGTGTGGTCAGAGCCACGTGATACAAAGATTATTCCTAAGGTGAGCAAGCAGCCAGCAGGCGTCATTGCAACATTGTCCCAGCCAGAGGAAAAGTAATTACATGCAGCCTTTCACAGCCTTTCAAGCAAGAGATTGATTAAACACAACAGGAAATTAGAAATGTGCCTCCCTCAAAAATCTGACACAGTAAGGATTGCCTTAAGCAACACAACCATCTCACCATCTCTTTGCTTCTCAGTGCTGTGGTGATTCTCCTGTCATCTCCAGGAACAGAGGGCTAATCAGACTGACTGTCCAGTGATTCATACTCCCAGCATATGGGAACATTCTTTCACTCAGTACTGATCCCACCATGTAATCTTATCTGTCTTCAACTAAATGGGCATGGGAAGTAATTCATTGATTTAATTTAGCCTTATGTAAAGTAGAAGGATTATATGAAAGAAAATTAAAACTGAACGTTAGGAAAAAAGGGAAATATGTTTGCTACTTTGCTTGTTCACTTTACTGGTTTAGCCATAGGGATATGTAGATCCTTCTTTTGTATTTGGATTTCTGTTCTCTGTAAAGGTTCTGTTGAAAAAGCTCAACAGAAGGGGACTTCAAAAATATGTTAATTGAACACTGACAGGAATCTCTGTGGACACCCACAAAAGCAAGATACTCAGGAAATATCTCCAAATCTGTGCAGGAAGACTAATTTTAATCACATATTTCTGAATTTATTTTTATGAATCAATGCCACATCAGTCCTTTATGGCCTTTTATTCCAAACTGTTCTGTATGGAGCCCTGCCAGAAATGAACTCACAGCACCGGCAAGCTGTTGCATGAGCTTGAGTTAATGCATGTAAAAATACTGCTTATTTTTTGCTTAGTTTTTAGGAAAAGGCTATGAAGATGAGTTATACACCCTTCTGTCTGGCCTTCTTTTTTTCTTTTTTTATCCTACCAGTTAAGTACAAGTTCAGTTTTATCAGGTTGTCCTTCTTGTTGAAGGGACACCATTAGAGGTGTCTCAGCACAAAACCTACCTTATTCCCCTCTATTTTAAAATTGTAATCTATTCCAGGGGATAGTTGAACTGTTTTCAAACAAGCCAGAAGGGATGCTGCTAGCAATGGCAGCACAGAGCAAACCCAAGGCAGACAAATGTACTGCAATTCTCTATCTACTTGTACCCAAAATTTGAGTAGCTTAAAATTTTCTTTATGCACTAGATGGGAAAATCCTTGAGTCAGTCTCAACCTGGTCTTCTCAGCTACCACATGAACCCCCACCAGAAATGCTGCACAGTGATGCACAACGCAGTGCCCAGTGTGATCAATATTGCACTGCAAATGTAAGGACTTTTTTCCCAAGGGATATATATAGCAAGTATTAAAACTGGAAAAAAAAAATGTGCTTGCAAAGTAAGCATAAAGAAGACATGCAAGTACTGCTACACTCTTACTTACAAAAAACCCCAAACAAACAAACTAACTAACAAAAAACCAAAAAACCAAGGCTGTGTCTGTCTCTCTTGGTACAGCATTTACAACAAGCTGTGTCACCCTACCATCATATCACTAATATGGACTCAATCTTACCAGGTGTTCTGTAATCTCAACTTCTGATCGTATCACTGAGTGTTGAAGTGATTTACATCCAAAGAGAAGGGATTCACATTTCGAACTTGTTAAGGAAGTAAAAATATAATACAAGCAACATTTAAAAAACATACTCTCGTAAGAACAATGCAGTAAGATGCAAAATAAAAGACTTACAGATCTAATACAGACTGCAAATACAGTTTGTTTGATAAAGGTGGTGCAAGGGAGAAAAACAAATCACAGAGATCTGAAAGTTGTTATCTTGGCTAAAAAGAAGCTGAAAATCCCAATCCCAGAGAGGTTTGCCAAGGAAAGGCTGCATGTCTGGGACCAAACAGTAAGTCGGCAGTAGAAAAGAATACTTGCTGACACGACAAAATGCTTTTAGTCAGAGCTCTGGAATCTGTAGCATCCCAGCTTGCCAACACAAGCTCTGCAGGTCCCTCCCAAGGCCAGAGGCAGGCTGAGGTACTCACATGTACTCCCTGTGTGCAGAGTGCACGGCGGCTGCGTTGCTGTACCGCCACAGCACTATCGCCGACGACAGCACGTCCAGCGTGGCATCAAACTGCAAGAGAGACACAGTCAACTGCTCTGCTGGCCATTACATGTGCCCCGTGCTGAGAGTAGTGCATTTACCATCCTGCTGCACAGGCACAGAGCAGCTTCAAATGAATCACTCTAATGAAAGCAGGATTTACATTTGTTGAATCGATCTCCACGTTCTCGCCATGTATTATTGCATAATGATGCACTTCAGGGCTCGGCAAGTCAATCAGGGGATTAAAAACTTATTTATTTTTAATCCATCTCCCGGAGAGAAGTTAAGGGGGAAAAAAGAGCCACCACAATCTGCAGCTGTGGCATGACAAGAGTTAAAATACGAGTATGCTTCTAATGCAAAGATTGTAAAGAAAGAAGTGTTTGGAAATGCCTGGCACGCATTCCTTTTTCTTGCAGTCACTAATTTATTTCAGTAGAAGGTTTTGTTTCAAAGCAAGAAAATTAACTTTTTTCAAAATCCCGTTGTATCCAGATTTCATATTATATGAATATATTATCCTGTATTGTCAGGAAAATTGCCATATTTGTATTTCCAGCTAATGAAGACACCAAAAATTAGGCCTGTCCCACTGTAAGAACTTTCATCCTTACATCAAATTTTCTAGAGTTGATCTAACCTTCAAATTTGAAAGCAAGAGACAAATGATTTGATATGAGTCATTGCTTGTAGTTAGGAATTTTTTGCTCTGTTGCTAATCAGGAAGGTCATGGCAAGGACTAGAGAGGAAAGCTGTCATTCCAAAGTCAACAGCCATCTTACCACAGACTTCAACAAGAACAGGGTCGCACAAAATTCATAAGGGAACTTTGGAATTAGGCTCCAATTCAACAAAAAGGAGAGAGATTTTGTAGAAGAGAAAAATATCTGGTGGACAATATCTATCAGTGATGAGATACAAGCATGGATATTAACTCCAATATAAGACTTAGCTGGGCGGAAACTGGAAAAGTATAATGCCAACATCTTTGCCATCCTTCCAAATATTCAACAATACTTTTCCTAATCCATCATTGGCTTTGCACACCTTGCCATGAACTTACCATAAGAAACAAATACAACATTTCATGTTTAGAGAAAGTCCATGAAAAGAAAAAAGAGGTAGAGAATATTTCAATGTATCTCTACTTACAGCAAATCCAAAGGAGGATGCACTGTATCTCATCACGGAGACAGCTGAAGGAAAAAAAAAATTCATTATTTAGAATCACTTTAAAGTTTTAGATGCAGACTGCAGTAAAAACATTTTGGAACTACAATTTCAAGCTCTCAGAAAACTGTACATGTCTCAAGGTGCTCCTTGTTCCAGCCAGGAGCTTCAGGTCCCCTGAACTGGATGATAGAAAACTATGCAGGCCCATTGAGACTTCTGGAGTGCCATCTTTTTGACAAAGAGCCTAAGGGCAATTCACACAGCCCCAGGAAATGCTTCAAATCCCATCTTACCAGTGATTTACAATGAAAAAAGCATTAGTTGGAAAAGCTTTGACCAAGTCTGATTTTGACTGAATAACACCTCTAAAAAATAAATCAGACTCTGCAAACAGCCTAACATCTAGGAAATAAATACCATTTTCATAATTTTACCCCATGCATCCTAATTCTGTCATCTCAGACTTAACAATTCTAGGAGGTGCTGTGCAAGAGAAATACCTCTGGAGCCCAGAGGAACAGGCAGCAGGGGAAGAGGCCGCCTGGGACTTCATCAAACCCCAACTCTGCCAGGCTGACAGCCTGGCTGAGCCAAGCTCACAAACACTCAGCAGCTCCAACTTCTTGCTGTGTTTTGTAGGACTACCTGAACCTGTGCTCCCCGAAGAAAACTCACAGCACTCTAGTTCCAATATTCAGAGAGTGAAATAAAGCATTAAAGGATTGATTTTACTTCTTTTTTTTTTATGAACAAATATCAGCTAACTTAATAAGGAAAACAAAACCACCAAACACACAAAACAGACTCAAAACGACTCATCAGTGACTCTGTCAATCTTAGGTTGACAAACACAATATCTGATGTTCAGTATTCTGGATTCTTTAGAACAGCTTGGCAGAACAGAGATGCTGTGGTTTGACTGTTCTTTTCAGTAACAGCAAGCTGCAGTTCTGAACAGAAATTAAAATCTTGGGAAAAATAACCCTTTCATTATGGATCTAAGACCATGCCACATGTCACAAACATTTGGACTTTATCAGCACAGTTGGCCAAACCAAAAAGAAAAGCCATCAGGTTCTTTCCCAGATTCCAGTTTTCTCAAAGTTGAAGAGTACTGAAACAGTTAGTGGAGATTTATGTCTCCCTCTCATTTTAAATCATGATTTCCCACACTTCATTTCCTAGGTAAAACAAGAGGCTGTATTTCCTGGTCAGACGTGCCAGGCAAGAGCTTGCAGTGATCCATCTGCAAATTTCAACACTTCACTGCATAATAATATATTACCTATCAAATGTTCCTTGTCTGCCTCCTTACAGGCTTGGTTTAAAAAACTGCAGAACTCGCATTTTTAAAAAAAAAGGTCATTCACAGGTACATACAAACTTGCAATGTTCCTGTCATTACTGCTTGTATATGATGCAGTGCAAAGCAACACTTTTACTCCTCCTTCTATTTCTAGCCTGCCCCTGTAGTAGAATAACTCCTCAGTTTTCACTAAATTGCCAGTTTCTTTCCCAACTCAGATCCTGACTTGGAACAAGCAAACTTCATGGTTCCTTTAAAAACGAATTTGTAATTTCTCAGGGTGCTGAAGTGCACACAGACCGCCACACCTTAGCGATGCTTTAGGGGACATCATTGTTGTATTTAAAGCACAAGGTCTTTAGCATGAGAACTGTCTTTATTTTATGTGTTCTACCACAGCACTAACACACAATCTTGTTTGGCCTGAGCTGTCCAAAAGAGTAATGAAAAACAAGTATTAACTAACAGTGTCACAAGGCTGCTCAACCCTTTTTGCTAACTAGTGACTACAGCTCGGACTGGCACCCTACAACTCTAAACTGTAGAGGTAAAAGGCCATAATAAAGGTAGCAATGACCATTTAAGGACTGGAAAGATGCATTTTTATATTATTTATTCACATAAACAACCCATTCGCTTTTTTTTCAGAGTCAAATAACAACGTTAAAGCACCTTCAGCCCTGACTTCAGCACATTAATACCTGTAGCTGACAAGTTCAGTCACAAAGCTCACCAGGAAGTCACCCCAGCTTAAATGGGATGTTTGTCCACGGATCCAGGCCCTGTGGCAGTGAAAGCAGCTGCAATATTGGCTTACAGGGTATCAGCCAAGACAGGCTGCCATAGACTGACCACAGCCACTAAGAATGACTGGCTCCCACTGCAGGCTCAGAAGCTGAAAGGACTTCTAGGGAAGTGCTTCTTGGCAGCCAAGGATTTGAGACCCCTGGGCAAAGGAATAACCAGCGGTCCTTATGACTCCAGTATCCCTGCTGACCCCCAGGAGCAATTTGTGGCACTGTAGGAATGGTCCACACAGCTTTTGCTCATCTCTCCCCTTCCTTCTTCTCAATATGCATGTTCAGCTTTTCCCAGACAAGCATGTGCTGTAAGAAAAACCCCAGAGATTCCTCATCTCCCTATTAAATGGTGGGAAACAAGTCATGAGGGAAGAACAGAGCAGGCGTCTTTAAAATCCTGTGAGGCCACTGTGTGCATTCAGCAGCTCCACTGCCATGACAGCAGGACCCTGCTCTTAGCTGGTTTATTGGCTAAATTGGACAACATTTTATTACCTCTACAATAAAGCAGATAATCCTAATGCATTTTCCTGACATTTGTAAACAGAACTTGCGAGCAGTCAGAAACTAAAAATAGAGCCAGCACAGTAAGCCACAAATCTACCACGGCCTCCACCTGCACAGCAATAGCAATTTGTGAAGTCTGCCAACCAGTAGGTCAGATTTTGATGTAATTCCTTCACCCCTTCCAAAGTGATTCCAAATTAAAAAAAAATATTCCATTTCCCCCACATTCTACCTTCAACAGTATAATGGTTTATTCGCTTCATGGGCCTCAGAAAAATCATGTAACTAAGGTCCTAACCCAACCAAATAGTTCCAATTTCACTCTTCAGCCATCTAGTCTCCCAACATCCTTTGTCAGGTTTAATCCTTCTTAACAAGTGTTTCTGGAGGGACAGGACCTTATAGTGACTCTGGTCCCCTCAGAAAATTAACTCTGCCTCCAGGTCTCTCATCTCTGAGATGAGTCTGACTACAAATGAGAGATGGTACATACAAACAGCTCTTCCACCGCTCACAAAAATCTCCTCTTACATACTTAGAAAGGGGAAAACTCTTTTTAGGAAGCTCCTCTAGATGGGACAATCACTCCATCATGTCTGCTTTGAAATTAGTCTTTTTGAAAGACACTCTTGGATGTCAGCACATAAAATACCATGGTTTCAAAAGCACATGACCTGCACTCAGCAAAAATCAGACTGGCAGTTTGAACACTGCTGAAAATGTTAGGTTTATCTCTCTCTATATAACCACGCATATCTTGAAGGTTGCACAGGGTCGTGAGCAACAGGAACAAGAAGTTGGGCTGAATCAGAAGTGAAACTGAAATACAGTCTGTTTTCATTGCCTCCTGCTGGTAACACATCAAAGACAAACATTACAATAAATGTTCCAAAACAAATCCATTCCAAGCAGAGAAAACCAAATGAGTAGTATTTTCTAAAAACCCCTCACAACAAGTGAAGACAAAGAACAGACATGTCTGATACTGTTAATAATTGTAAAAAATGCTACTGAGCAGGACCAACAGGCACAGGTGCCTTTTCCCAGGTACCTTCTCCCTTCTTCAAAATTCTAGCAGAGCAAAACTGGAGGATTTCTGCAATCAGCACAGCAGCTACAAACAGCCCCACACCCAACATCTCACACACAAGGCTGCCAGACACCTAATCCACATGGGGTGATCCATCAATGCCGTATTCCTATTTCTATCCATATTTCTATCCCAAAGTCACTTGGCAAAACTGTACCAACCCTACCCATAGAAAATCTTCAGCTCATTTTCCCAGTTTATAATTGCATCACTATGATAAAGATCCTTATTTCTGTGCAGTACCATCATACCACTATGTGTGTATCTACCAAGTGGAAACCTAAATTTAACGTATATCAAACCTGGACCTTCATCTCCTTAGAATTTGTGACCAATTTGTAAAGAAGTCCCTAAGAGGGTTCGTTTTTCCAGCTGCTTGGAAGGAGTCATAGCAACGCTGTGCAGAATGAACTGCAGGGGAGTACCAGGAGACTTCAATCCTCGGGGAAGACTCAGTTGTAGGAACTCGGTGCACAAGACTCTAAAAGAGCCAGACATCATGTCCTCAGCTCTGCTTCTGCCTGGGCCAAGAACCCACTCTTCTCGAGCCTTGTGTTTTGTTAATTTCTGAATTTTGTTTTCTGCACAAATTCTAGACACTTCAGAGCAGGACCTGTACCTTCCAGTCTCTCTGCTGTCTCCTGGACTACAAGCAGGGCTGGAACTTCTGGCTTATATATGTGTACAAAAGTGACAAAGCTAAGGAACCTAGGATTTATTATTCCCTTCCTTCAAATAGAAAGAACAGTCCCACCAAAACTATTAAACAGCTTTACTTTTTCCTTTGTTTTTTTTTTTTTTTTTAAGTCTGAGATCCTTGACATAAATGACTCTACTGTTTAATAACAATATACTTTCCTTCCTCCATAACAAAAAAAATCCTCAAGGTATCCTAAAAATCTTTGCAGATTCAGTGAGGTAACAAATTTTGGTATAGGAAGTTTTACAACGTTCCTTTCCTTGTCTATCAAGCAGTTAATTGTTTTGGTGGTTTGTTTTCATCTATGGCAACGGCCAAACCTTTAACAGCTGCAAACTTCCATAACTTCATTTGCTTCACTGAACTATAACAGTGTACATCAGTTGAAGCTTTTCCTCATTTCTTACTACAGAAGCAGTAGAGTTTCAGGACCTTGTGCAAAGGTTTTCCTTTAAGTTTAATCCACACAGTTCTTTCCCATTTGCTGACATGTTAGGGAAAAAAAATGAAGTTTTTTTAATGGTTAATGCCATCTCTGACTTCAGGATTTTCTATATTAAGTCATTAATTTTTCAATGTTTCAATTTCAATATTTTTTTAAAACCGATTTTTTGGTGGTT